CTGATCTAACCAATGTTAGATTAAAATTATAGGAATGTTACTTCAGCTATTCATATATATAAAATGCTATTAAAGTCAAATATTTTTAACTACATTGTTATTATTAAGATTAAATAGCTGAATTAATTTTAGCCTAGCATGCCATAAGCAACTGCTATGCTGCTAGACAAGATTCTTGAACTTACTTTGCTTTTAAACTTTAGTAAGTTATATTTTAAAGGAAAATGCAATGTGTAACTTACTAATTTTATAATTCTTTCAGAAGAATAACAGTCTACCCTTTGTTTTGTACATTTTATTTGTTATGTAGAAAAACACACTATAAATAATACAAACAAAATTTATTTCTCTGGAAAAAACAGAATTTTGAAATAAAAAGGTAGTGCAGGAATAGGAGAGGTAGTGATGCAAACACAAAAGTCTTTAATTTTATTCTTTAATCCTGTTGTATAATGTAAGAAAAAAAGTCATTTTACAGAGGATTTTATCAGCAGAAGACAACAGAAATCATTTGATCATATAGCAATATACACACAAATCCCTTACAAGAAGATAAAAAGTTCCCTTTTATGTATAAAGCTGTAGGTAGCAGTATTTTATCCTCAAATTGGTGTGATAGTGGAAGAGGCTTTTTAAAATTAAAATGTTTTCTGAGACTCTCTTATACACTCAAGTTATCTATGAAGCTCACAGGGAAATGCGTGGCACAGACAACTTTAAGGAAGTCTGATTTTCTTTCCCAATTTTTGAATAGTTTCCTTGATATCGAATTAAAAATCTTATAAGAATTAAAATACTGTGTGTAGAAATGATATAAGACAAAAGCTTAATTTGTTTTYCCCCCTTTAACTTGTTTTATGAATAATAATGGCAGGAGGGTCATAAGACACATTAGATCATCAGCACACTTAATRATTTTAGTATTTATTAAATAAATATAATGAAATCCCTTTACACACAGTGTATAGAAACTCAAATTGGCTTCTTCTACTTATTGACATTCAGATTACTGGAGGGGCAAAGGTCGTGATCCATGTAGCATATACACGAAAGCCATTATCAATATGGAACCAAAATTCAACACTTCAGGTGTTTTCCAGAAACTCAGGTATTAATCTAATGCTGATTACACAGTGAACGGATTAATTGATTCCAGTTTTATCCACATAATAGATATCAAAAGATCAGTAAATACCAGCATTATAGAAAATGTTAAAGAATTTATTCAAATTCCTGTCTTCTATTTTGATATATGTAATAGATTATTATTAATTACACTCACCAAGATATGAATGTTAGGTGTTGATTAAAAATCTATTGGAAAATTTAGTTGAGACATTTATGTATTTAAATCCCACAATGCCAGAAAAACAAAAGTATTTTACTGATACCTTGAAGCACAAGAAAATTCCAATATGACTCAGTCAATCCAAATAGAAGAAAAATATATCTTCTTTTAATTTTTGAAATTTAATTTCTTTGATAATGAGATAAATGAGCACACTAAACCAAAAAAATTATTTGTGTCTATTTCTTTAAAATAAGAGCTGTTAGGTGTTTTATATACAATTATATGAGTGGGGAAAACAGATTTTTTAAAGGAGGGGAGCTACTTCTCAATGTTATTAGCTCATCTCACTATTTATTATTCTCAAAAATTTTTAACCTATATTAAGAAAGCTATAGTCACTGATATGAATGAARACTGAGGAAATATTGTTGGTATATATGTCCTAAAATTCATATAGAAAAGTTCAAGAGAAAAAACTAAATGAAAAAATTATAAACAGATATAGCTACTCATAGGAAATCCCCAAGATATTTGGGGATTAGAAAAAGCTGCATAATGAGAATACACTAAAGGGTATCCAACATTTTATCATAAATAGAAAAAAAGATTTGGCTGGACATTATTTTGAAAATATAGCTAAAGATAATAAAATTATTTAATATTATCTTACTAAAATAAGAAAATCTTAATTACAATTATGAATTAATTCTTTGAATGAACAAAGCCTGGTTAATTATTAAGAGTCCTGTGATAAAGTGATATTTTTATGAACAAATTGCTTGATAAACAATTTGCCTCTTTTGCTGTTATGAGAAGTCTCATTACTGCAAAAGTATTCTAGATACTTATCAGTTTTCCTAAGAGTCTCTCTTGATTCTTAGATCTCAAATTATTTGCTTTTGAATTCTCATTATTTTTACTTTGAAATGTATATTCATCATTTCCAGATGTTATGGTTGGATGTGTACAGCATCTAATAATGATAGAGAACAGCTCCACAAATATGTAACATACGGCAGATATAATTTGTTGAGTAGGGAGGGGATATTTGAAATTGGACTACTTTATAAATGAACAAATTAATTAGCAAACAATCTAGTAATTGGTACAAATTTACCATGCTATGCAGCTTCAATACCATTACAACTGAATAATAATATTAAGATAAGTAGTGTTCCCTGCTCCCTCATTATGTATGACAATAACTACACACCTGTCTCTTGATAAATAGTTAAGTAGCTATCAATGAATTTATAGAAATGGTGCAGATAYTTTTTATTTGTGATTCAAGAAGACATTCAGGAGGTTTCTAAAACCTTCTGAAGCATGCAATTTATTGTCCTATATTGACAATATAAAGATCTCCATTTTCTCTGGGGAGATGGTATACATCTTCTACTAGATTCTGAAGGGATTCTTATCACGAAAAAATTAAAACTACTGTATAATTAATTTTTAGCCTATTTCCATTGATAGGCACAGTAACACTCTTCACCTTGACTTTAAAAATCCATTACCCATTTTACAATTCCCTGATATCTATCTCATAATTAGAACACAGCAGCAAATATTAGTCCCATCTTCAGATCTCTTGTCAACAGGCTCTACTATCCTGTGCCAAGTCCTTATGTCAGCCCAGATATGAGACATAGGGTCAAGGACAAGCAGAACTTCAAATGAATGGAAAATGATGTCATAACAGCATCATCAGGTCAAGCCATCTTAGAATATGAAGAAAGGAGAACTGTGAGTAGAAGAACAGAAACCAACTTCCCTACAATGGTGTGCTTTCCATTGATTCCAAAGCTATAATTTCACTATAATTTGCAAAGTTGAATGAATTATCAACTCAGATAATAAAGTAGACTTTGTTATATAGCTCTACATATTCAATAGCCTCTTCAAAATTTATGGAGAAACTAATTTTTCTCTTTCACAAAGAAAAGTTTCTATAAACTAAGCTACCTGCTTTTAATGACTGTTCTGAGAAATTAATACTTATTTTTCCACATCAATTAAAATTATTTTAATTCTTCAAAATAGGAGCTATTGTTGTAACCTAAGCATGAGGTAATCATTCTACCATAGGATTTCATATTTCCCCACATATATCAGTGTTAAAAATCTCAAATTTTGTGATGACATATTTCCATGTGAAAAAATACGACCCTTTCAAAAATTTATCTCAAAGTTTAATATTCTTGATAGATTATGTCTTAGTAAGATTAGCAATATATATTTTAATTTTTGGTTGCTCACTCCTACTAAAAACTTCCATTGCTACATTATCATTTTATTCTCATTTTCAAGGACCCCCACAACTTGTTGCCAATTTCTTTTTCCAGAACTCTCCAACTGCATGTTAATAGAATGCTCAGATCCATTAATGAATGTCTCATGAAGGTACCTTCACAATGTAATCCTTATTTTTATTATTTGGTTGATATTATTTCCATACACCACCTCTCTTTCACCCAACTATGCCTTTAAAGAGAAATCGAATTCCATGGCTTCCCTAGACATTGTCATTCATTTTCATTGTATTGAATGTCTCTATGTTACAGCTTATGCTTAGACTTTTATTCTGTATGTTTTCTATCCTTTTTTGTTGCCTTTCATTTAATTTTATTAATCTTCCCACCCAGTAGTAACATCATCTTCTTCATTTGTTTAATATTTTCCCAGGACCTACTGCAATTCCAARAATCCCTTTATAAAATTGTACCAGTAAAATTTTCAATATTTGTTCAATTTAGAGCAAAACTGTATCAACCATTAATCTATATCCAACATTGGACATGATGATAAATGTTAGATACCTCACACAATTTCCTAATAGGGGGACCTTTTATATTTTATATACTGAAATTGATTATTTAAACTCTCTTAAAGAAGAAAACAATTTGAAATGTGATTTGTAATCCTAATTAAATAAACAGAAAAATGAATGAAAATAAAAGAATACGTACTACTTGGTATTGTGTGCATTTGTATGAGTGTCTGCGTGAACTGATAAAATTCTAGACCATGTTCTGGAGGAAATTATTCAACTGGTTCATTTTATGAACAGACCATGGAGACATAAATATGCAAGAATGTTTTTAGAATTCATGTAATTGAACTGACTAGGAAACAAGGGTCTCATTTTGGTAACCCATGTTTTTGTAAATTTTCTATAGTTTATAATGGAAAATTCTCATATTTATTATAGTCATTTTTGGGTTATAAGTGACAGATAGTCTATTTTATACTTATTTTCCCTATAAGGTTTGAACTTTAGACAACATAGAAAAATATAATGACCACAGGACTTGTTGATCTTCATTCTTAGAAACTGATGCTTTGATATGTGACTAGCAAGGAAGTGAACAGCTGAGAGAAGTGTTGTACATTTCAGTCAGTTTGTATATTTCACAGGCTGTTAGTCCCAATACTATGCATCAGAACGGAGCTATTTCTTACGATGTGCCTCTTTCCAGGAAARCAAAATTTAAGTAGCCTCTTTAAAGAAAGAAGAAAATATTTAGTCCTAAATAATTCTTCAACAGCCTGTCTTTACTTCCTGTGAATTCTTCTGTTGCTTCTAATCAGCTTTTCACGGGCAACATATTCCTGTCAGGAAAATTAAGCCAAAGCAATACACAGAACACAACTGCATAGCTCCAGCACAGACTTGCTTCCCAGGTGATGGACTGAGCTTGTTTATTTCTTAAAACTCATCACCATCCTCTGAGCTAAAGCTACTTCTCCTACTGCTTGCTTTGGAAACTGCAGGGGAAGCAGCAGATAGCAGAGGGTCTGTTCCAAACGGGGATATTGTGTTGTCCAGTAGCATGTCATCCAATCTTTGTTCCTCTTTCAAAGCGGCACTAAATGATAAATCTGTGAAGTGTGACAAAGGATCAGAGAAGGCCAGAGCTTGATCGCAGAGCTCAGGGCTTGGCCCCTGAGACAGAGTTAGTTGTTGGGAATAGTCTACTGAATTCTGCTCAGGATGGGTCTGCTGTTTGGTGACGTGGGCACCTAAATCAACAGTGCCAAGTGAAGTCAGGGTTGGCAGACCATGAGCTCGAGCTTGTATTTCTAGTTCCTGCAATTTCAAACAAAACTCATTTAAAATGCCTTTGAAAGTAGGCATAATGCTAGCAAATAAACCAGARACAAAACAAAAATATTTACAGGCTTTTAAAGCAAAGATTAATACAGTTACATGTGTTTTCCCAAAATAAAGGAATGTGTGGCATTTCTGATACCTGAAAATTAACCYTGGAAAATTACTCAGATTTTTAAAAAATTCTGCTCTCATTGTTCTCTAAAGGAATTCATGTCACATTATGGTCCCATAGTGGTTCATACTACAATATAGCCATTTGGAAATAGTAGCAAATCTTCTATTTATTCTTTCTGATTAATTTCTCACCATAATTCAGGACCATTGCATGGACACAGAGTAAATGCTCTACCTGGCTACAAGCATGCTCACTTTAAAGAGAGAGAATTATGAAAGCCCCTATTAGGGTATTTGGGGGTCACATGAACAGTTGACATAAGCTGATAATATAAGCTGGTACGATATGCCCTAAGGCAATGAAATCTACTGCCATGTTACGAAAAGAATGCAAGGGGGAGGGGAGAATTTAGTGTCTAATATTATCTAGAGAAACAAATGTTCTACTTGATTTTTTTTTTTTTTTGGTGAAATAACATTGTGTAGTTATGAAATGAGCTCTATTTTCTGAGTTTTGTGATTAGTCATTGTCATTCATTGTATGCATATTTTAGGTCATCTTGATCCTGGATTTCTAATCAAAACCTAATCGAAAGAAACCAGTTCATGAACTTCTAAAAGGCAATAAAATGATCTTTTAGAAGGAAAAATAACTGTTAATAAGAAAAAAGAATAAATGACACCAATGAATAAAACCCATGACAAGTGAGTCATGTGTTAGCTGCACAGCGCATGGCATCGTTTTTATAAAAACCTGAATTCGGAGTAGAAGTCGCCTGTTAGCCTGCTCYAATTTCTTCTGTCTGTGTTCTAACTCCCGGGCTCTTTGTTGTTCTTTTTGTAGCCACTTGATGTACTCCACTGATGCTTTTAGGATGGTTCCTTTGTTCCAGCGCATATCACTGTAGAACGGAGAGATAACCTTTTCACAATTGTGCATGTCAGCAGAATTCATAAGAACTTACAAAATCTTTTACATTAATATGAAATAATGATTTACATGACTATTATTCACTCTTAGATATTATTGCTTCTGAATAGAAATTTTAATAGAATAGTTRAGAAGCCCTTATATAGTAAAATTAATCCCAGAATGAAAATAAGTGTCAAAAGAAAGTAATAAAGTGACTTTTTGTGGGAGAGCTAAATGCAATATCATGATTCTACCATTACAGTTTTTATATTTTTAGTGAAAATTGCTTTTATTATTAACTCTGAGATTAAAATCTATGTGCAGTATTTCTGCATTAATGAACTAGGAAATGTACATTACTGACGACTTAAGCCTAAATTTTTAAAGATCATTTCAAACGTACCAATCTTTTTTAAAAAAAAATTGTTCTAAATGGACACAATACCTTTATTTTGTTTATTTATTTTTATGTGGTGCTGTAGATCGAACCCAGTGCCTCATAGATATGAGGAAAGTGCTTTACTGCTGAGCCACAACCCCAGCCCCTCATATGTACCAATCTTTTAACCTACTTCCTAATAAGGCTGCTTTTGTTTTTAAGAAAAATAAATAAAGTCTCCCCTGAATGTGATCCTCGGGGATTGTGAAACACATCTGAGTTTAGCAACATCACAATGCAATAAGGCAAACTTTCTAAAACTGTTTGGCCAACTTTTCTTCCCAAACAATATCAAGCTTTTTTTTAAAAAAAAAAGCTGGATACAGATAGCTATTTTAAAATAAATTTAAGATGAGTAATGTAGTTAAGCAATACTGCTATTGCATAGAAAATATTTTATTAAAACTTATTTYTAATATAGGAGAAATTTTAAATATAAAATTATAGGACATTATACTCATTTTATTGKCTGAAAGCATATGTCCATAAATGCAATTCTGTATGAGACTAGATTCTAATTATAATTACAAATAAGAATCTATTGCAAATAAGAATGAATTAATTGATAAACATCAATCAAAACGGCTAAAAAACCTTGGCAATTTCTCAAATTAGAGGCATGAGATGTTTCGAATAGAGCATAAAGTAAGCATGTAAAGAAGTTTTATATTTTCTTACATAATGTTTTTGTTTAAATGCCCCTATTTTTGGTTTAATGTGATCTATGTGAATTATATTGACCTTAATATGTATTTATTAAGAGTCAAAAGTGGGAAAATATAGTTTATGACAGATMTGATCAGAAGGTGTCTCATTGGGAGTCTAGATTAAGGGACAATGTCATTAGCAGTAATGAACTAATGGAAGTTCCATTTTTCTGTCATCAGGTGAGAATCATCTTCTATGAAATACAACAAACTATTGTCTCTCAAGCTTGGAAATGATGCATCAATTTTCTAGGGGGACATTCTACTATAGCTATTGGGACTTTCTACTCACAGGGATTTATCTTGTGATGGGATGGATGTGAAGACAGGTTACTTTCAGCGTTGTACTGAGAAAGTATCTAACTGAGAAAAGTAGCAGTCTCATGAACCAAAACCCCAAGCAATGGCAGGAGTCTATGGATTCTTAGTTTTGTATCATTTCTTCTCATGGGAAGACAAAATTAAAGGAGGAGGAATAAGAGGAATAAGATGAAAAATATAATGCTAACCAACTTTGAAATTTAAAATATCGTTTAGTTAGACCTGAAATTTAACCTTCAAAATAGTGATGGGAACACCTAATGAGCCCTTCTTCAATTTGTACCTGATGTCATTTACTAAGTTTTCAAACATTTACTCTATCTAAAGCCATTTGAATGTATGATACATCTTTCTTTAAAATTTTAAAGTTGTTTTTGCATGTAAAATGGATTTTTGCCTGTCTCTCCAAGATTTCAAGCATCAGAAAATAAAAAMTTTACTACAGTACTCTATAAACATCAGAAAATAAAAAATTTACTATAGTACTCTATAAACAATAAACCTCCATAAAGACAGGACTAAAGAGAGAATGCTGATATTGATCTTTTAGTTTCTGTAAAATAGTTGTTTTTAAGAAAATACATTTTTTGGAGGGTGTCAAACTTGAAAGATATTAGGGTCAAATCAGGAAACACCAATGTATACATTGTGGTAGGGGTTGCCACCAGGCAAAAATATGGAAATGTACAATTWACTGTTATCTTAGGCATGCACCTCACACATTATTAAATTATCCATGTTAATTAGAATATTTGGATTTAGGGAAGGAGAGTATTCAACTCTCACAAATACCACTTTATCAAACATCATCAAATCTGGAAAAATGCCAGCTTTTGTGGAGGTCATTTTCAAATCATTATTAACTCTGGAAAGCATGTTTTTATATTTTTGTATAAACATTCAAAATTCTTCAGTTAATTATTTCTTGAGACTTGCAACCACAAACAATGTATTTGATTCTGTGTGTTTGCCAAAAAAACCTGGTCGCCATCAATCAACAGGTTTTTACAACTTCATTTTTTACTTTGGGGTCTCCACAAATTGGAGACCTCTGAAGAATCTGACGATTACATTATTAGGTACACATAAATCTTAAGTTGTAAAAGATGCTATAATCATAAACTGAGTATCCCAGTCAGCATCAYAAATAGCTCTTCATACCACTAAAACTGCCAGTATTGTTATACTAAGAGACCTAATATGAACTGAGGAGAAATAATTAACTTATTTCCTACCATCAGAAGGGCAACTCTGGGAACAGAGTAGATGCTTAATAGTGACCACTCTGGTCTAGATATATTACAATGGGGGGACAGCAATAGCCTTAGCTTTGCATAAGCTGCTTATTTTCCTAATCATTGCTTCTGTCCTCCCTTATCCCCTCCCACCCATTTTGGGGGGCATTGAAACCATAACATTATTATAGAAATGATTTTAAACTCACGGGTCATTAGACTTTGGAATAAGTGTGCCAAGCTCCTTGATTCGGTAATTAATATTATACCTTCTTCTTCTTTCAACTATTAAAGAAGAAATATTATTGATTATTCTCATTAAAACACACTTCATTTTTGGTCAGCTGTAAACTTTCTTAATAATCTTTTAAAAACAGTGGCAAAAACATTCAGTTAAGAGATCGCACTTCTCAATAATAAGAATTCAAAGGAATCTTATTCTAAGTTACATTTTTAGAATTGAATATATGATTTACAATATTTTAAAAACATTTTGTCTTAAAACAGTATTTTCCATTGTTATAATATTTACTCACACACACATGTCTTTGTTATTTTACATGCACATATTTTGTCAGTTCATCAAGGTTGTGATCTTTTGAAGTCGTGCACCACACTTGATTCTTCCTGTCTATTTTCAATGTATAACACATGATTGGTGTGTGCTCAGCTAACCAAGACTATCTTGAGGAAAGGGTCATATCTTTCTTATTTTTGTATCACTAGAGAACTTGACCTATRTAGGAAGGGCTAAATAAATGTATATTGATTAGACTATCAATTAATTTTCCATTTAAAGTTTTTAATAACATATAGATAATTTTTTTTTCAAATTTTGACATGCATCAGACATACCTAGAGGAATTTTAAAATAGATTTTTACACCATACTCAGAGATTCTGCTTTTACTAGATCTGGAATAGAGTCCAAGATATCCATTTCTGATGAGTCCTCAGGTGATAATGATGTAGTCAGTAGAAGGTCCATAATTTGAGAACTACTGATATAGGCTCTTTTTCTGGGGTGGGTAGGGGGTGGGAGGGTAGGTACCAGAGATTGAACTTGGGGTTCAATAATTACTTATGGCAATTTTGTTTCTATGCTGATTCAAAAATGCCAGGCATATTATGAGCCTCCTATATTGATTATGAGCAGTCACTCTATATTCTTATTATCAAAAACCATAGCAATTACTTACATATAATACTTTTGCAATAGCTAACATATTTAAAGCTTTCAGGTATACAAATGTAGAAAAAGGCCAAGAAGAAGAGAAATATGTTTCAAAAATGTTGAAAAATACTTAAAGAAAAGTAAAATATACACCTGTAAAGGAAAATCACAACTGGAAATAATGAAAGTCATCAAAGAACATCCATTGTTTGGTGAACCTATTCCATGAAGCAAATTACTATGAATGGATTTAATCTTCAGGTMGAGAACATTGAATTTCTTTCTAAAATTAGAATATAACTAATCCTTAAAAGGGTTTATTTTCCCCTTGTACCAATCCTGTTTCTTCTGTGCATGTGATCCAAAACCCAGCAATGATAGCACATAAAAACACTGAAGACAAAATAAAGAAAGGTAAAACTGATAGGAATACATGTTTATTTTACAGTGAGAATTTGTTAGTAATTCTATTCTCACATATAGTATCCTTATATTTTAAATTAGAGTTTTAAATATGCTACTTCTCTAGTATTATTAGATTGTATGTATCAATTTTTAAATGGCTAATTATATATTTGGTTTCTCRACGCTGTTCATTTGTAAAAGAGTCATGTTTTAAGAAAATACTAAATTATTATACACTTTGTGGTTTTTACTCTTCATGTTTTTGACATAGTCGCTCAATCCTYTCTCCAGATGCAGACAAAAGAGACAACTCCTCCAATACATACTTACAAGACACACTCATTCCTGCTCTGGCTATACCTCTCCCCACTAAGCAAGACAGCCACAAGCCCAAGGGAATCCTTTTAAACTAGTTCTTCTAATTTGCACCAGAAATTTCCTCTCCATTTCCCTGACCCACTTCCAAGCCTGGGTCTGACCTCTTGGCACATGGCACCTGTGTACTGACCCTCAGATACAAGACATGGCCAAAATGTTTAGGGGTGTGTATAGAGCTTGAATGTACAAGGTGGGGTGTATACACATATGTTTGAGGCCATTTGCAGCACACAATGGAATAGAGGGTGGGAAAAGAATTGAAATGAGCTTCAAGCTGAAGGCTGGCACGCCCTGCCCTGATATTCCCACACCAGACTCTAACAACCTGAAAATTCCAAAATCACTCCTGATCTTCTAGGAAACACATTTAATTTAGCACTTTCTAGCTTGATTTATACTTTTTATGTATCTAGAACTCTGGTAAATTGGACCTCTGTGCTTTTGCCACKACCCCATTGGTTTTATAGTTTTTAAAAGTTGATCTAGATCCATTATACTCAACATATATGGTATTAATTTTTTAACGTTGATTTTTCCCTTGAAAGCAAGATGAATTAGCAAGAGAATTCAGATCAGAGAACACTCTGATAAGGCACATACCAGATAACTACCATACACTATATTAAATGACCTGTCACATAAGCTGCAGACATACAGGAGATAAAGGAAAAGGCAAGGAGAATAATCATTCACAGGTTTACTAAGGAAAAAAAAAACATAGTTCCTCAATGTACTCATTTATTCCACAGCCATTAGCTCTTCCTACTCATACTCACCTTGTCCCTCTCCTACTGAGGGCTTTGGGAGTTAGATCAGTTCCCTGAGGACTGCTGTAACCATAAGTTAGCTCCTTCCTTTCAGACTCACCCAACTGTCATCACCTTGGGATGCAAGTGCATTATGCACAGATGTAGGTCTCATAGATAGGTGGAAAATCAATTTCAACTAATTGCATGTAAAGAAATTACATTGTAAGGCTTTATAGTTTTATTTACTTTTGTGCAGTTTTACTTTTTTCTCAGTTTTTGATTTGGCTTCACACTCGATTGATCAGGTTCAGTTGAGATAGTTAAGCACTTAAGACACGACCAAGCACTCTAAAGCCCAGCCTTACTGCTAATCTCCTTCTTTTGCCTGTATTTCTCCATCTCATGTGACTCGTTAACAGAGTCAAATTGACCCTGAGGAAGACATGAAAGCTCTTTTTTTCCCAGAGGTGGAATTCAGCATTACCACATAAGCAATGCCTTTCAGATAACATATCATTAGGAAGGAAGGAGCAAATTGACACAGAAAAATGAGAACCTGAACTTGTGCTTCTGATATTTAAATGGTTTACATTTTCTAAAGTCATTTTCTCTCTTTTTAAATCTTTGAATCAATGAGTCACAGCACAGTGCCAATGTAACCAAATGCATTCRTTTGAGGCACAGGCAGCCTCCTTAAGAATGAATGATCAAGGAGAGAATTCAGAATGTTTCACTTTGTGAAAATCTGCACCTTTTTTCTTTGAGAGTTCACATGGTTCCCCTTTCCCAAAATAGCTCATCTGTGACTGTGTAATTTTGCTCATCTGACTTTGGGTACTTATGGAGTGATAATGAATAACCATACACTTTAATCTCCATGCACTTCCTTTTGAACTAATTTTGTTTGGAAAGAAAGAAAAACATACTCACTCAGGTTGTGATTGTCCTTTTTTTGTCTTTCCTTTGCCAAAGCTCTAGTGTCAGTTTCTGATGAAAAGAAAAATAATTAAAACAGTGCTTGGTTATACCTCAAAACTTTTCTAGGCAACATAATTCAGAAATATTAAATGAAAAAACAATACTCCTTCCTCCAAAATGGTTGTATAGCCTGGATTTGTTTTCTGGCTCTCCATTTAATAGCCGTCTGATTGATTACCAGACTTCTCTTTATCTCAGGTACCTCAACTGTAAAATGAATACAATCGTAATACCTACCTGAAAATCACTGTGATGATTATGAAAACGGTGCAGCACAGAGACTATATTAAACTATTCAATCACTGCTGTTCCTACTTATTATTTTCCAAAWTTTGAAACTCAAAAAGAAATTATTCCAATCTTAATTCTTCATAAATAAATGTGATTTTGTACACCCCAAGTGTTGGAACTAACTACATTTCTCTGGTATCTATATTGAACTCCACACTTTCTTCCAGAAAATGACCCTACCCTCCATGTGTTATGTGATTGTGACCATGGCCATCAGCCTTCAAGATGGCCCTTGATGATTCTCACTTCCTAGTATTCACACCCTTGATGATTCTCTCCAGTATGGAATGGGGTTGACCTGTGAAACCAATAGAATGTTGTGGAAATGTTGACTGTGGCTTCCAAGACATGTTTTAGCTTTTACTTTTGTACCCCTTGGGTTACCAGTTTTCATGTCATGAGGACACTCAAGCAACCCATGGAGAGAAAGATTCACACAGTAATCAACCAAGACTGATTGTCAACAAACAGCATTAAAATGTAAGAGCCATGAATGAGCTGCCTTGGCAGTGCCTCTTCCAACCCAAGTCAAGGGTCAGATTGTGGAGCTCTGACTGACATCTGGATTATAGCTTCATAATAGACTCTGATTCAGCACCAATTTTCTAAGCCTCTTCTGGTGTCCCAATCCTCATAGAATGCATAAGGTCACAAATGTTTACATCAAGCTGCTAAACTGGGGATTTAACTTGTTATTATATAACAGCAGAAAATTAGAAAGTGTCTTAGAATTATTATAATATTAAAGTAGGTAATAAAGTAATACATTCTCTTTAAATCATTTAAAACTGTGGTCATTAATTATAATCTAAATAATTTAAATGCTTAAACATGCCTGAGTTATTAAGCTCTAAGACCAACCATTTTGTATTTACTTAAAATGTTAGTATTAACTATGTAAAATTACTGTAGACCAGTTTTGAGCTCTAAATGTATAAAAAAATTGTTATAAAAATTTCAAATACATTTTATATTTATTATTGTAAGAAATCTGACATTRGATTTGTAAGTCAAGAAATCCTTACATTAAACTACTTCTGCTTCTTACCAGATACATAACTTTGGGAAAATAACCCCTCAATCCTATGTCGTGTCTATGTATCATGAAGAATTTGACTCTGTCCTTTATCTCTTCTGAGTTGTAACAGTTTTTAAATAAACTAGAGAAAATTTATGTTTTTTTCCCAATTGAGATAGTTAAATGCAAATCTTTCATGAAATCCATAAAACAAGTTAAAACAGAAAAAAAATTAAACTTTTGTCTTATATCCAATTCTAATCACAAAAAAGAATTTCCCTAATTTGATATGTCATTTTGCAACCATGTTAATAAATTCCATCTATTCAATAGCAAAATGAGTCCATGTTAAATGAAGGATGTGTGTGTGTGTGTGTGTGTGTGTGTTCGTGTGTACAAATAATAAACACATATATACAATTACTAATTAATCAATTCAGTTAAACTGTGAATTAAATTAACTTACAATGTAGGTACTGTAAAAATGATTAATTTAGTCTCATTTGCTTCCTGTTTAGCTAAATATCTTGATATTCTTTAGAAATTCTATTTAATATGATCAAGCATGTCTCTCATATTTGTTACAGCTAATAAAAGTTAAACAGAATAAAAATATAAAAGTAACATTACCTGTAATTTCTCTTTTCATTGGTAAACCACTTGGACAGGAAGCACTTGTAAGCCCCATATTAACTGGTGAAATCCCGGGCTCGCCACTATAGACATCCAAAATATTTCCAGATAACTTTAGAGGAAAAAGAAAAGATCAATCAATCAAACACCTCTGTGCACATGGATACATTTAGTTAGTTGTAGACTTTAAAAAATCTTTATTTTAAATTTGTTGGTTTGTTAATAATAATGGGAATATATAGTGTTTTAATTTTAAATAAGAGGGTGAGTATGCATTAACTATCTTTAAATACATTATGAAATGCTTGTGGATAAGAAAGACATGCTGAAAAAATCTATTTATACTTAAACAAAAAAAGAAATAAGTTCATGCATGAAGGAAAATTCTGATTAATATTTACAAAGCTATGGAAGTTTAAGCCAGCATAAGATGTGGTTATAAATGAATACAACTAAAATTATCATTTTGGACAAAAAATCAATACACATCTTAGCAAAACTGGAAAGTTCCTTCTGTACCACAAATTAGGTATAATGGTTGAATATCTGAGAGGCTTCTGAATGCCATCAATGCTACCAGAAACTCACAGTCAAGAGGCATTTTACACTGCTAATTAAGTGAGGAACTCTCCTTCCTGGAAGACATACATTTTCTCATTGCACACTTAATGTTCTAGATTATTATAAATATGCCAGTTGGTAACCAAAAGTACTCTAAAACTACTTCTGCCTCTAGTGAATATAGAGTACATCCAATTATAGCAACACTGCCATTCATGAAGTGCTTCTTAAGAACATATTTTTAGAAAAGCTAAGGCCTTTTATACACAATTCAAAACTGTACCAATTCATTATTTAAACCATGCTTATGGACTTGATCTTCCAAGAAAATTAAATTTAAACAATATTCCTATTCCAAGTGGATACTATTATTCCACAACAAGCTACATTTACAATGTAAGATCTTAAATTTTAAAATATTTCCATTCTAAAGATTTTCATTCCACTTCTAGGCAATTAACCAAAAGCTAAGAATCAACATTTTTTTTTCTTTCTTAAAGGACTAAGAACAATACATACAATCAAACATGTCTTTAACAAGATTATTGTGGAAAATCTAACTCCACCTTCCCACTTTTTGTAAAACTACAATTCAACCCAAGAGAACTATTTGATAMTTATAAAATCAGACTGGAAATAAATACAAACAAAATATATATTAAGACCAAAATTTGTTTCTAAGGTAATACACCACTATAGTATATTTAACAAATGTTGTATATTTCTAAGGAAAAAGAACTTTGAAAACATGGTTGAAATTACTTAAATGAAAAAAAAATTATGTACATGTCAATGAAGACCATTCTATACTGCATATAATACTTCTTTATTTCCTTCTTCTGTTTTGTTTTGTTGGTGATACTGGGGATTGAACTCAGGGCTTCACAAATGACAGACAAAAATTTCTACCACTGAATTATGTCCCCAGTCTTTTAAAATAATGTTTTATTTTGAGGGAAGGTCTTGCTAATGTGCCCTGCTTGACCTTGAACTCATAATTCTCTTGCCTCAACTTCCCAGGTAGTTGTGATCATAGGATATGCTATCTTATAACTGATTCTATTAGACTTCATCACCTTTGTTTTATACACACTTGGTGTTTCAGAATGTGTTTTTATTTATAGAAATTGGAAGGGAACTCTTAAAGTCAAGTATCTATTCCTTCTCAATTTCCTCATGTGCAAAATGAGGACAAAGTTGACCAAATTGGAAAGATGTATCAGATAAATACAATTAGAAGTATCTGATAAAACACATTTAGATGGGAGAAAAAAGCAAAGCTTTCCCTATGTTGTGTGTCATTTAGTCACAGTTTTAAAAGTACAACATTCCAAGATTGTTTTTGAAAAGTGTGTTGGCTATGAGATAAAGAATCACCAACCTGAGTTGTACATTTCTACTGTGCTTTGGAGAATCATAATGGACACATTGAACAAAAGGATAGGGAGTGAGGGGGAAGGAACTAGGGAAAGAGTGCTTTTCTCTGAAGAGCTTGAATTGAAATGGATGTCAATACTGAAGTGGCAAATTGCAGAAATGTTAGAGAAGAGAAAGAGCTATCCTATATACACACTGTAACAATAAAGCCAGAGGTTCCTAACTATAGCACTTCATGGGTTCATATTACCTGGTTAGACAGTAGCCAATGAATTTTGTTCTTTAGAAATGGGGCTAGAATTCTGATAATGAATCTAATCCTGCTTAACTATAGCTATGCTACATCTTCTCTTGACCTTGGTTATTGTCTAATTTATGCCCTAAAGCATGATGATTAATAACCTATTTAATTTTATGCTGTAGGTACTATTCTATTTCATGTAAATGGCTAATCACTTTTTGAATATCATTACACTATTGGATTTCAATTTCCAAGCATGTAATACACTTTGGTAATCTAAAGTGCCTTTTCTCTATTAAAAGATGTAAGAGTACAATGTTAGTGGAAATTTAACAATTATATGTACATCTAGAAGAGCTTATGAAGCAAATTTATATCTACAGTTATCAAAGGTGTAAGTTACGTAGGCAATAGGTCTAAATTTTAACTTCATTTTAAAGATCATTAGGCAATGGGATAGATATTTCATGAAGAAACACTTACTTTGATTAAAAAACAGATTACTTTTTCAGTAAAGCAAACCTTTGGCATGGCAATAGATGAACATTTTTATTAACAACAAATACCGTTTAAAGACATTAAATAAGAAATTTGCTATAGAATCTATTCAACAAGGTGGAACACATTTTTCTATAAGACAATATTTCTCTCTGATAGAAAAAATGTGAACTTCTGATCTGAGAAGTTACTCTGAGGTGATGAGTGATTAACAGTGATTTCCTGGTATCTAGACTGTATTCACATCTCCATTATTGAAACCATAAGAATTGAAATATACTGGGTCTGACCTTTCTGCATACATACTTCCATTAACAATAGCCAGTAGTTCCTAAAGAAAATAAATTCATAGGCAAAACTGCAAAACACCTAGCAAAATGTCTATAACAAAACTAAAATAATATGCATTATAAATATCATGAAAAGAAAAAAAAAGTAAAGCAAATGAAATCAAACTTCTTAAATTAGCCTAAAACAAATAAGAGAAGGAATTTGTAATAGTTTACAATAGAAAATAATAATGAGAAAATGTAGTAATGACCAATGAGACCAATAAGAACCGAGAGCAGAAATAGGAAATATGAATAAATATATTACTTAGGGAATAAACCATGCAAAATAATAACAAGAAAAGCATGTCTTAATGTATTCATTGGGAAAGGAATAAAATAACTAATAAAGTATAAGATCAGATTAAAGTAACATGAAAGGAKAGTGAAGGAAAAGACCAACAAACAGGACATATAAAAGTAAAGTTGAACAATATGGAGGATGAATTTATTAAAATCAAAATACAGATGATAATAATCTTAGAAAGGGAAAGATAAAGTGAAAAAGTGAAATGTAAKAAATAATGGAGATAAATTTCAAAGAATTATCTCTAAGTAAAAAAAAACTTCCATTTTTTTATTTTATTGTTATTTTATTTTTATTTAAAAATTAAAGTGTCTATATGATGCTAACAAACCAAGATAGTAGGAAAACTGTATATCCAGACATAGCATATTGAAATTGAAGAGTAAGGAGAAAAATCTAAAAGTCTAAAGAAAGGGAAAAAAAAAGTTATTTGTGAGGAATCTGGAATCAGATTAATAAAATTTTTCAATAACAAAATTAAATGGAAAGATAAAATAAATCAATATTTTTAGAAATTGAAAGAAAAAAAAACACAATTGTATATCAGCCCAAATTTTATTCACATATAAGGCCATGATAAAAATATTCTTAAGCATACAGTGTGAAATAAATAAAATGTTTAAGAAGATTTATTCCCACAAAGACTAAAACTGAAAAGAGTTCGGATGAATTATATCTAAATGAGAAGAGAGATTAAAGGGTAGACTTTAAAAAATAAAATAAAATTGATCAAATATCATGATACAGTTAACATGATTTAAAAAAGTAGCAATGAGGGACAAAAACAAAGATAAAGTGAAATATAGCCTTATAACTTGGTATGATATTACGTATAATTTCGGTATCAGTGGATTAAACTAACATGGCAACAAAAGACATGAAAGTGATAAGAAAGTATCAAAGATAAATATATTAAATATGAAACACAAATAACAAAGTGAGAGAAGCAGGTGGAATATAATCAATAAATAATAATGTAAATAGGTCAAACAGCTGGCTGAAGTGTTAACATAGTGAATAAGAAGATAGGAACTAAATGTAAATAGCTTACAAGATACAAATATGCCTAGTGAAAGGRTATACAAAGCTTGGGAATGAAATAATGAAATCCAATATACCCACAGATAAAGACTATAGGAAAATTTATATTAAATAAAATTATATTAATATTAGAGAAAAATGGAATTTAAAATTAGAAACACTATTTGGAAAAGAGTCAATATAAAATAGAAAGCTTTAAAAAAGGTCTTACAATAATTAGCATGCAGGCATAAAAAATTTCAAATATGTGACACAAAATGGTTAGGAATATAAAGAAAAATGAATAATCAATCATTATAGTGGAATAGTTTAGCAATAGTTATAGTTATAGAATAGTTATAGAATCCAAAGATTCTACCAAGGGGGAACTCTTGAATTCAGTCAAGGTACAGGACATAAAATGAAGCCACCAAACTTAGTTGCATTTCTACACATTAATGAGGCACATTCTGATAAAGAAATAAAGAAAACAATTCAATTTAAAATRACATAAAGAAGAATGATATACTTAGGAATATGCTTAGACAAGAAATTAAATACTTGTACACCACAAACTAAAAAATACAACTGAAAGAAATTAAAGAAAATATCAATAATGAAAAGACATTCCATGTTCACAAATGGAAAAACAACGTTGTTGATGGTAATACTACCCAAACAATCTACACATTCATTCAATCCATATCAAAACTCAACTGCATTTTTTAAGAAATAAAGAAGTTCAGTGGAATGAAGAATGGGRATTGAAGGGAAGGAAG